ATCCATCCATCCATCCATCCATCCATCCATCCATCCATCCATCCATCCATCCATCCATCCATCATCTTTAAAATGTCCCTGAGTGAGAGCATGAATGGTTGTTTGTCTTCACATGGCCCTGATAATGGATGGATGGAAGACAAAAAAGAAATGTCAGACTATTTGCTATGAAACCAGTCTGCAGAAAAAAAGTAAAAAAAATCCTTGAAATATTGTACATATCACCTACCATTGCCTTTAACATTCTATGATGAGTCAAACTGACACATTAGAAGATGCCTTGACAAAACTCTGTGTTGTGAATGACTCACAGCTCCTACCATTTACATTTTTGTCTCAATAGCTGTGAAGTTACAGACATTCTTGTGCTTGATGAACTTGATTAGCTGCAACAGCCATCTTGAGTCAGGTTGACTCCAAAAAGGTAATTACTTGTAGATTCAAGTCCAGTGACTGTTTTCTAGGAGTTTCATTAAAATCCATTTACTGGCTCATGAGATATTTTGCCAACAGACAAACAGGATTCACTTTGACAGTTAATGGCAATGTTTTAAACAAATATACTGTATTCAACAAATTTTTATCATTTGTTAGCATATTATGCTGGTGTAAATTCTAAGATATTCAGGACATGATTATTGTTGGTTTTCTGTTAGCCGCTTTTCTTCAGGGATCACCACAGCATGTAAACTCACAAAGGATATGAAAATTGTTTTATGTCAGATATAATTCTTGACACAACTTGGGTTGAACCCACAACTTCAGGACTACAAAATTTGGGTACTGATCTACTGACAATGATAATTCATGATAGCCTAATCCTAGCAAGTAGTTTTTGTTTTCAATTAAAGGTGGTATTTAGGTTCTTATATTTAAATGAAAAAGAAAAAAATTGTATAGGTCTTCTGGACGGGTTCTTCTCTAATGAAATGTTTTGTCTCTTCTCCAAGAGACTTCTTCAGTCTGAGAGTTTCAGGCAAAATTATATATTTGTTGAATTTTGCCTGAAACACTCAGACTGAAGAAGTCTCTTGGAGGAGAGACGAAACGTTTCATTAAAGAAGAACCCGTCCAGAAGACCTATACAATTTTTTTCATTTTGATTTTTTACCTGGATTACTGAGATGCATCAGGACATAGTTGCTGAGAAGTTGATTGGGCCAAAAATGATTATTGAGTAGACAACAAATAATCATTTAAATTGTAATAATGCAAAATGTTAGCTTTGGAAGACATTTTTAGTGCCTGTGTGCCATCATCCAAAAATTTTAGTGTATATATATATATA